TTTTTCCTTTAAACTTTGTTTTTATTTTGCTGTTTTACTTTTTCCAGCTGCTTTTACAGGTAAACCTCGGGCGGCGAAAAAACAAAAAGCATAGAAATTGGAATTCATTCAATGGTGCGAAAGGGAGTAGGTTTTTATATATTGTTATAAATTGTAGGGGAAACTATATATCATAAGCATATCAATGTTTTTAATATGTATATTTTTTAAAGGCAATTTAAAAATACATTTCTCTATATAAGAGAATCAGTTTAGGGGATATAGTTTCCATGGTTTGGTTATAACCAAAAGTTTTCTCTAACCTTTTTCTAGTTTTAAATAGATACCTGATAATAACCACACTATATATATGAATATTTAGTGGTAAAATAAGTGTTTAATGAAAGCTACTTATCAAAAAACAACTTTTATCTCTACTGCCTTGAATTGGGTTTTAAATTTCTAAGATCTTGAAATGGAAGTACTTTTATTTACCTTTTTTGGTGCACTTATGTATATATAGCAAATCAAATGATAATACTGAGAATATATGCACATATATAGTACGACTCCTTGTCAATCCATTGTTAGGGGTATTCATCTTCTGGCCTTATTCTTTGATGTGTGTTCTTATCTTTTAATTAGACCAAGGACCAAGACCGAAACCGAGTTGAGTGCTGCGATTTATGGCTGGTGCGAAAAGGGAAATCGTTGCACAATTAAGTAAACTTCCTTCGGTGCGGATATAATGGGGCTTTCTTACCACTTTCTTACCAGGAGGTATCCTTACCACCTTCCCTTCTTTTGCTCCTTGCTCCTTGCCCTCGGCCAACTATAGTTTTCTTCGACTGACTGCGTCCTTCTCTATTTCCCGCTTATTTACAGCGCAATCAAATTTAACTGTTTAAACAAGCGATGAAAAGATTCGGTATGGGATACCCCTTCACACACACACACACATATGCAGCAGTCATTGTCATTGCCAGAACAAGTGGGTGGTGGCTGGGTGGCAATGCGGAAAGGATGAGTTGGGTTTGGGCTGAGGAAAATGCAAAACAATTTCAGGCGAATTAGCGTAATTGTCTCGCCGCTGCTGTTGCTTCGGCTTCAGCTCCCTGTTTCTTCTGAGACAAAGGATCCCACTGCTGCCAAGAAGAAGCAGGACTCAAGCTACTTAATCCTCTAATTTGTGTGTGTATATATATATATGTGTGTGTATAAAAGTGTGTGTGTGTGTGTGTGTGTGTTTGGGCCACGCCCCCTTTTCTGTGAGCCTTGTGGAAGGGAATGGAAAGCAAAGGCAAGCAAAGAAAAGCAAAGCAAAGTTTGCCCTCATTTATATGCAAAAATGTAAACCAAAAAATCAGCGAGAATGTTAAATCCAACAAAATGCATTTAACACATAAAAATTTGCATAGAAAGTGGCTTCGGTAAACCCCTCCATCCCATCCGTCGACCCTCATGGAACGAACCACTATCTAAGTGCGAGAGCGCCGAACGAACGATTCAAGTTAATTTTATTTTTATTTTTATTTTTATTCCTGACACCCGCTACTCGGCTATTATTGTACCTAGGCGTTGTGTGTTGAGTGTGTATGTGTGTGTGTGTGCGGTTGCCACGCCCCAATTTAACGGGCTAATTCGGTTGCCAACCAACATCCGGTTAAATAGAGCCTCTCTATGCGCTTCTCATGGCATCCACTTGATGGTCAGGAGTTTGGCTTTGTTTAGGTTTATTTTGGACTTTGCTTTTTCAAGTTGTTCCCAATTTTTGTTTTAATTAAAACAAATCTTTAAACTAATATAATGCACTTATAAAAAGAAATGAATCTAACTTCGGGAAGCGAAATGTATATATCCTTGCAGTTTTCAATTGAATTGTAGGAGCGAATCGGATTTCGCTCAAAACTAAGCTTTGGATCGATATTTATTGATATTTTTATATGAAGATTTTTCTTTGAAAAATCAAAGTTTAAAAAAGTGATAACTAAGGCAATAAGTCGTTAATTTTAATTCGGATAGCTTTCCAATGTTAGTTTTTAAAAGGTTAATAAATTCGCATACTCAATTTAAGATTTAAAAAAATTAAAATTTTGGTTGAATTTTTTTTATTAAATTTTAACGATGTAACCCCTCAAAAAATGTTGAAAAAATTATAAAATATTTTTTTTTCGCCGAAGATGGCTAGATCGGTTCCGCTGTTAATGCTGATCAAGAATATATATGATTCATAGGGTCGGAAATGATTCCTTCACAGAGTTTTAAGCTTCTGACTAAAATTATAATACGGTGTATTTAGCAAAATTAGGGTCAATTTTGAAACTATCTTAAGGGCAAATAATTTTTTAATGAAGTAAGGCTGATAATAAAAATTGCTGTATGACTTTAAATTTAAATTAAGTAATGGGGTCCATGGCAATAAAGGATTGGCATTGGTTTAATAATAATTAAATATATAAATAGCTAGCACAACTCATTCTAAGCCTAAGATAATAGCATAATATAATTGACATGGTTAACACTTACCGTAATAGACGTCACACTGTGACTTTAATTAGTTCTGGTATAATCGAAGTCATCTTCCTGGTCATTTAGATGCATTGCACAGGTTGGTTGATATTATTTGGGTCGAAAGTGCACCACCACTACAAATGTTATCACTAATGAGGCCACGTACATACGTAGGCTGCGCGACTTTAGCGCCCGTATGTATACCCTCAGAGTGAAGAAATGATCAGAGAGGGTAAGAGCGAGAGCGCGAGAGGGAAATAGATACCACTAGACTTGGGCAGAGTGAGGCAGAGAGAGACAGCGAGAGTAAGGGATTTCAAAGATACACAGAGACAGCGAGCGCCAAACATTTAACGATCGTTCCAATGCAGCTACATTTACGATATAGTCGACCGATTTTGATAAAATTAATACAATAATTATAAAATAATACCAACTGGTTTTATATTTAAAAAAAAATTATTAAAATAACATATTAAAATATGCTGAAAATTGGAAAAATTATAATATATATTCTTAAAATTTTCCGATTTTTCCTATAGCAGCTACATGTATATATATATATATAGTCCACCGATTTGCCATGTTCCGACTTATATACTTGTAAAATTATATAGAAAAATAAATCCATAGTTTTATTGAAATAGCTGCTTTAAATTTGTTCCAAAACAAATCTCGCACATCTGTGCATATGATTCCCAACTGGTTCTAACATCCCCGGAACGAAGTGACTTCTGCCGGCCAAGTCTCAGACATGTGTTGTGTTACAAAAGTTGCAAGTCATTGTTTATTAGTGTTCCAATTTAATCACTGGTCATACATACTTAGTGATCATAGATACTTACTGATCATAGTTACTGCTCATAGTTAATTACTGGTCTTACTTAAAGTTCAGAGTTACTTACTCCTCAGAGTTAATTACTGATAATAGTCCGATAGAATCGTCTGATCGTTCCTAGATACTTACTATGCTGTTGATAGATACTTCCTGTTCAGAGTTACTTACTGATCAAAGATACTTACTGGTCATAGATACTTACTGTTCTAAGTTATTTACTGGTCATAGATACTTACTGGTCATAAATACTTACTGATCATAGTTACTTGCTGGTCATAGATACTTACTGTTCAGAGTTATTTACTGATCATAGTTACTTGATGTCCATTGATACTTACTGATCATAGTTAATTACTGATATAATTATGTACTTTATATGGTCAGAGATGACTCCTTCGCTGTGTTCCAAACTTATGACTAAAATTAAAAGGCAAGGGTTTAAAAATAGGAATAAATATAAAAATAACTAAATACGCAATTATTTTTATACGCCTGTCGAAGTTTTAAAATGTAACTAAGTCAAATCCACATTAATTTTAATTTGGAAAGCTGTCATTTATAAGGTTAACTAATCTGCATTTCCAATTTAAAATTAAGAAGAAATGCAATTTTTTTTTGTCAATTTTTGACAATTTTAACGATGTTAATTTGCCAATTTTATTTCATCTCTAATAATCTGTTAATATTGGTATTTATTGCCTGATTAAAATGCGCCTTTCTACGCGCTTCTCATAGGTTGTACTTAAGCAGACATAGACTGGACAGGTTTAGTATAAATTTTAGTATTTTTTTTTAGTATTTTCTTATAAAATTTCATATTAAAATATTTTATAAGCTGAGGAAGAAGTTTTTAACAATTTTGCTTATTGCTTTTTGCAAGTAAACATTTTTAAACAATTATTATTAAGGGTTAACTTACTGTTTTTAATATTATTTTTAATGCTCGGATTATCGCACTAAGCTGCGGTCATCCCACTTTAAAGGGCGCCCCTCTCTATGATTCTCTGTATCAAAAATATCTAAAGACATTTTTAAACATTTCACTTTCGGATGTCGTCGATGTCGTTGATGTCGTTTTCCTCTCCCCCTCTTGGATCTTTATCCCGTGTCCATTTCTTATTATGTATTTGTAACCAATTGGTTGCCAAACCCCTACACAACCCTCTACACCCCTCTTGCAGTCAATTTTTTTGTTGCCACTGCTGCTGCTTCTGTGTCCTTTGTGCTGTTGTTGTTATTGCATGTGTTGAGATTCTCATGGAAATTTGCATACAAATTGCGTCTGGCGCGTAGGACGCAGTCGGTTTTGTACAACACATACACACATACACATAAATATATATATATATATATAGATATATGTCTGTGTATGGATGTGGTTAGGGGTCACGGGGACAGCTGGTCTGACATGCGTACGGGGTTAACGAAGGGTTAACACAACACAAAAAAGGAATAAAACACCGCCAAACAACAGCAGCAGCACCTGACAACTGTCAAATTCTATGGGTGCCACCATCGATAAATAAGAATCGAGGCGACCAAAAAATTATATATATATAACAAGTAAAGTGTTCCAATTAAAGTTATCTCCTTTATTCGTTAATATCGAAGAGTATTTACAAATTTTGTGGTTAGTTGTGAAACAAATAACAAAAATTAGCAATGGATAATTTTACCAACTGCTCTGAGCCCAACCACCTTGGGGAGCCCAGCCGCCGGAGGAGTAGCCACCGCCATGGCCACCACCGTAACCACCGCCGTAACCACCGCTGGAACCAGCATCGGAGATAACCTTGATGATCTTGATGTTGCCGCCGCTTCCATGGCCACCACTGTAGCCACCGCCTCCATAGCCACCGCCGCCGCTGTAGCCACCTCCTGAGGACCAGCCGCCTCCATGGCCACCGCTATAGCCACCTCCATGGCCACCTCCATAGCCACCTCCATAGCCACCTCCATGGCCGCCTCCATAGCCGCCACCGCCAGCTCCAGAATCAGTGATCACCTTGATGATCTTCACGGTGCCACCGCTGCCTCCGTAGCCACCGACTCCATGGCCACCACCGCCATAACCGCCGCCGCCGCCGCCGCCGCTGTAGCCACCTCCCGAGGACCAGCCACCTCCATGGCCACCGCCATAGCCACCGCCGTAGCCACCACTGCCGCCGGAGGACCAGCCGGAACTAAGGGCACTTCCGCCTCCGCCGCCTAGGAAACCGGCGTGAGCCATGCTGCACACCGCCAGCAAGCAGACGAAAACCTGCAAAAGATTCGGCGGTTTGGTAATCACATAATCACTCGACACAACAAACTTAAAAAAAAATATAAAACAATCTGGCTCAAAGAGCTTCGAATTAGAAACGCGTCGTCTGGACCCACCTTCATGTCGAGGGGGCTTGTGGATTGATTAACGGATGTCGGATAAACTGCAGCCGCTGTGTCCGGCTGAAAGGGTGATCTTCGACTGTGGCTAACCGTGGACCGAGAGCTGCTTTTATGGCCAGCGATGTGGCGGTAACCAGCTTGGGTCCACTAGGCGTTAAGCGTTAAGCGTTAACTCAGCACTGCCCTGCCCCAAAACAGTGATGATGGTACAGTGGGTCAAATCATGGCTATTATGTGTTGAATTTTCAGGGGGAAAAATGAGATTGGGTGAATGTTTATGTATCCCCCGAAGCAAGATATAACTAGTTATATTTTATATAATTTAATGTTGTACTTAAAAAGCATAAAGGCTCAGGTGCCACACTGTGCCCACAATGTCTGCTTGTGTATGAGACACTAATTGCCGCTCCACGCGATGCTCCCTCGTTACCATCTCCTAACGCCAGCCTCGATCATCACTCACTTGCTCTCTGGTAATACCACTCGGTACAAGGGGCAATGGCCCTGACCCCGCCCTGGGCACCTCACCACCTTCCAACTGGACCTATCCTATCCTCCCCCAAAAGTGAGGCACTTTTTGTGGCCAAAACTGTGTGTTGCAACAAAGGCTGCAGCTGGCATCCCTTTCTCGACAGTTGCACTTGTTAAAACTGTTTGATAGCGCTGTTTTTTTCATGTTTTGTGTATTTTTTTTAGCTCGTTATGCAATTCCAGCAAATCGACACAAAGTTGCAAAAATAATAAACAAAGGCAGCCCGCAGCGTGCTCCAATAAACAGGTAGCGATCACTGGGGTGACCAGTGATGAGGTTTAAATAGTACCAAGTACCTAAATACCTTTAAAAGGGGATAGTTTTTTATTAGAAAAGAAGTGAATTTAATCAGGAAACTATATTAGTTATTAACATACTTAGCTTGGCTCTGTTTACCTTGCTTTAAGCTTGGAAATTACCTTGGTTAAATGAAGCCATTATAACTCATTTAAAGAGGTACTAAAGTGCTGGTTAAATAATGATATAAAATATATAATTTAAATAACAAGCGTCTAGGTAACTTGAAAGCTTAGCTTTGTACAAGTTTAAACAACTAAAGAAGGCCTTACAAATGTGTATTTCCTGGCTTTACGTCTGGTCTCAAAATCTAGCTCTTTCCCTGTGTATTTCTAGGTACCTTAGAGATAAATACCTCAAGAAATTTGTTATTTCTTGGTACTTTTGATAGCTAAAAGGGTGGCATAACTTGACCATCGCTGTACCCAACACATTTTCGATTTTCAACTCGATTGATTCGTGGCCATTAACTCTTGGCCGATGGGTCAAACAGAATGCTTATTAATTGCCGATCGATCTGAGCTCGATTTGGCGGCTAGTCCAACCTTCACTTCTCGATCTGATGGATGAGCCATAAGTTTTCCACCGATTGCAAGCGATTTCGTAACCGACTTGCAGTGGAATGGCCAAAAGACATAACGAGTGCCAGATTTGGGGATTAAAGTATCTAGACGATAGGGTTTTAGTTACAGCTTTTAAGTAAATTTAAAATGGTTTTGAAAAGAAACATTGTAATCTAATAATAATATAATAATATGACTTATATTTACATAGATTTTTCAAGAGGTTTCTCCTCCTGATAATGCCAAGGTTTTTACCATCATCATCTGATCTTTTGCCGAAGAAACAATTACCCGTAATGAGCTTTAGCTTCAGTTGAAATGTACATTATATCTTTGAGTTATGGACGTACAATTAGTGATTATTTAACGGTGTCTGGTGGGATCATTAAATGGCTATTTAATATTTATACACCAAATATATATTGCTTCTTTACACGAATCTCTTTCAAGCTTTCCAGCCATTCGTTACAAATAATTATAAGCCAATACATTATGCGGCGATGTGAATAAATTAATGTAACCTTTTCGGTAGTCATTAGAGTCTTAGTTTGAGTTATGTTTGACATCTGAGGGATATCTATGGGCTGCGAAGACCAATGCAGGTCGCATATGCATGAGCTGGCATAAAAAAAGCAATCTTAATTAGTTAGATTCATAAATTAAGCCACAAAATATGTATGCTGCCATCATCATCATCATCATCAACATCATTCCCCCAACGAATCTACGGATAAAAACAAAAAGAAACAAGATTTGAGATTAAAACTTGTTATACAATAAATAAATAATGATGGAAATTCGAACAACAAAACGGTCTCTCGCATCCGCAATTATATCTTATGGATACCAACCCATTCGATTCGGTGGGGGAACTACTTATCTCACGGCTGGTTCAGAATGAACATAATTACCAGAAAAATAATGATTTCATTCCCTGGGCAAAGGTGATGCTGTGAAGATGCTTAACACGACATGACCTTGGGCTTAACCCATGTCGTGCTCAGACATCCACAGTGGTATAGGGAAGCCTCTAATTATATATTTTGTGTAAGTCCTAAAGACTTAACTAAAAATATACCTATTCATAAGAGTTACATCGTAGCTCTATATAACTTTTATATATTATTTATTAAATTATATAAGGTTTTTCTATAACCCTCTCTTACGTTCGACTTTCCCCAAGTCACTTCTCAAGTAAGAAACGGGTTTTGAATATTATTATTATTATGCAATTTCAATCACTCAAGTAATCGAGTGTCGAGTGTTTGAAATTGTCGCAAAATGGGTTAAGTGGAAAGCGAAACCGAGACGCCACAACAAAGATGGTCTCTCCAAAAAAATCCCCGAACATGAGTATTCACTTATTGCTAGCTTCATTAGACAAAGAATCGAAGTTTGGGTTTTTTTTTTTTATATATTTGGTAAACTATTAGTAACAAGAAAAAAAATGGTGTACACAAAAAACGTGCAGTATCTTAACGATATAGTAACTTCATAACATCGCAAATGGCCAATAACGCTGGACAACTCTAACAACAAGGAACAAAGGGAGCTGACGTCAACGCTCTGGATTGCTGGGATTTCTTTGGGTCCCTAGTTCCAGCCGGATCCACCAGAGGACCAGCCACCGCTGGATCCACCGGCGGACCAACCACCTCCAGAGCCACCGGAAGACCAGCCACCGCCAGAGTAGCCGCCATCGGTGATGCCCGAGCTAATCAGCTTGATGATTTTCACTTCCTCGGCTTGGTGGCCACCGCTGGAGTAGTCATATCCATGACCATGACCATGACTGTGTCCATGACCATGTCCATGATCCTCCTCCTGGATAACCTTGATGATTTTTACCTCGGCGCCATGACCATGGCTATGACCATGATCATGGTGGCCATGGGAGGCATAGCCTCCAGAGTGACCGCCCTCGCTGATCACCTTGATGATCTTGAGTTCTTCGGGTGCGGGACCATATCCATGTCCACCATGGCCATGACCATGACCAGCCTCCTCGCTGATGACCTTGACGATGGTGGGGGCACCGCCAGAGCCGCCAGAGGACCAGCCACCGCCGCCGCCTCCGCCGGAAGACCAGCCACCGCCGCCACCTCCACCAGAAGACCAGCCACTGCTGCCACCGCCACCGCCTCCAATGAAGCCGGAGTGGGCCAGGCTAAAACAGGCAATCAGGCAGACGAAAACCTCAAGGAGAAAAAGGCATAAAATTAGGATTCATTATTGAAAGTAACTCCTCGATCTGGACTCACCTTCATCTTGTTGTCGGCTAAACTTGGTTGGGAACTGGACACTTAACGATGAACGAAGTGGGATTGGGGAGCTAAACTCGTAAACTGATAATGGAACTCTGCCCCGGGGCTACTATTTATATGCCTCGAATGTGGGTCACGGCAAAGAGAAATGCTCGCCCCCACCTCAAAGCCTCGCAGCGAGGTCGTCTGACCATTGGAAAGGTGACATCGCTGACCCGGAGTGTCGGCATAATAGCCAATGGCATGACCAGTAGCACACCAGAGCAGATGCAGCGCTTTTCCCCAAAACCTCATCGAGGGTCATTTGTCATTTGTCCCGAAACTTTTGGGCTTCCCTTCCGACTAGACTGAAGATGATCAGTGGTGAACATTGATGGTTGAGAGGCAAGAAAAGATAGCTTTGAGAGTACATTTTAACATTTTCTTATAAAGTTCATATTATTATAAATATTTGTGTTATTTAATAGTATTACCTTATAATTTTTCAGTATTATTCTTTCGATTTTGAGGCCGTAAAATTAAATAATCTTAAAAATGTCAATCCAAAAAAAAATGTTTCTCCATAGTCTTGTATAATATATAATTATAATTTTAGTCAGAAGCTTGCAAAGTAGTGAAGGAGTTATTGCCGACCCTATAAATCATATATATTCTTGATCAGCATCAGCCGAGTCGATCTAGCCATTTCAGGCAGAATCAAATTTTTCAAATTTTTTTATGGGTTTCATCATGAAATTTTTCTTTAAAAAATTTAAGCAAAATTAAAAAGTTTGTAAATCCTAAATTTAATATCCAGATTTATTAGCCTAATAAAAAATAGCCTAGAACACCTTTCCAAATTAAAATGAATAAAATTTTAGCCAAGTAATGATCGATTTCGAGGGTATAAAAACTGGGTTTTTGTAGTTAGTACCCTTTCTTGTTTTTTTATATGTGTTATAAAAATTTAAATAAATCATATTTGATTAAGAATTTTAAATAGATTCGTGAGGTAGTTTCCTTCCTTAAGTATCTTTTATATTAATTTATAAATAAAAGAATGAATGTTTGTAATAAGCCTCGAATAGAGTGATTTAGATATACCAAAAAGGGCTTGGAAATATCCAAATCTATAATTTCTTTTAAATTCGAAAGCTTTTAAAAATAGCTAGCTGGCTGTCAACACTAATCCATAAGCCGCAATCGGGTGTGGAAAAAAACATGCATAGGTGACCAAAGACCGGAGGCTGGAGACTGGAGACTGGGACACCGGTGACCCAATCATGCAATCCCCCTACTCAACAGGTGTCTTGGGTGTGATTTGATTTGGCTGTCGACCGGTTTTCGCGATGATTTTTGATACTTTTTGCTATGTTTTTTCTTTTTGCTACCTTTGCCATTTTGGCATTTTTCGCACTGGAATATCACTTTCGTGCACCAAATCGTCAAGACACTTTAGATGGGTTAATTATGCAAATTTTGTGGAAGACAGCCACTCACCGTGTTGCGTCTGCTTAATTAAGCGGAGAGGAGAGGTTGTTTTCTTTTTTTTTTTTAATTCCGACGGAATGATAAATATTTCCCAAAACGCAAAGCTACAAAACTATAAAACTAAAACCCATTTGGCAACTTTCTCGCTGGGGCATTTGTTTATCTATTGTGGCATTGTAATCGTTAGCATAAAACACATAGAAACACACACACAGGTCGCCTTTTTGCAATCACAAATCATGTCGCATTCTGTAATGATTTTTGCCAAATATTATTCCGAAATCTTGGCCAATGTGAGTGCATGTCCAATACGATTTCTACTGGCCTTGGTTGCATCAGTCTTACTTACTGTTGAAGTGCCTGTAAATATTGATGAGATGATCGGCGGGACTTGCAATCAAATATACTTAAGGTGGCAAACAAATTGTGCTGGGTCTATGATGAGGGGCGGATGATGAAAACCAAGCCCATAAGACTAGATTTTTCTTACTTGTTATGCGGTGATAAGTGCTAAAAGCTAAAAGTCCACTTAAATAATATGCAAATAATGCAGGAACCTCTTTCGGAATGCCTAGGGATTTTGAATTCCTTACCAAGGTGTCTAAAAGTATTATATAAACTTAAATCTTAAATGTAAATAGGCATTTCTTATACCTTAATACAGAAAAAAACCCTCATAATATATTTACCATATTTTTGGACGTCTTTTTGAGAGATTTTTAATATCTTAAGCTCTCTGAAGCATTTGTAGTTATATAGCTTTAAAACAAATCATAGTTAACATTTAATGTTTATATAATACACATTCACTTCTATGTAAATGCAAACTTTTAGAACTAATTTTAAAGAAATTCCAATTTCAAGCGTTCAATAATATAAAATATAATTTTGACTATTTTTAGAAACAAATTAAAAGAAATTACTAACTTTAAAATATATTTCTTACATTTGTTGAGAAATTCAATTACATAAAATGTAATATTATATATTTTTAGACTTGAATATTAAGGCATTACAAACTTTAAAGTATATTTCACGCATTTTAACTCAAATTGATGAGATTTAATAGTTGTTTTATAATTATAGATATAACTTTTAAGGAATTTCAATAAGTACCTCTCAGATTAATACTCCCGGGATTCATTCTCTATAAACAAACTTGTAAATGATCAGAATTGGAAGGATTACTTAGATCTCTGTGAGTCCCCGGATAAATAGTACTTTCTGGAAAATCGGGGCTCAGGCCCTGGCTGCATTGCAGTTTCCCTGGAACTCTGGACTCCCCCTCCCCCTGCGACTGGCATTTGGGTTCGATTTATCATCGTTATCGTCGTGTTTGGCGTTTAATATGCAAATCGGGCTCACGCATGAACGCCCAAACATATGCAACAAGACACGAGCGGGCCAAATGCGATAAATATGTTGATGTGGTCGTGTTTTCCACGACAATACCTACTACCCACCCACAGTACACCCACCCAGAGGGCATGCCGTTTGCGTTTTCCGCTCATTTTTTCCAGCCGCATTCTTCATTAAAAATAATGAAAATTGAATTTAATTCGCTTGTCAGGCCTAATTATAATTATGTTAATGGCGCATGTTTTTCCACAAAATTTACACAATGTTTGTCCAAATCGTCAGCGAATTTTGCTGCATTTCCATGCCGATAATAACCGCGGTATCTCATTGCATTCCATTACATTTTGTGTCGGTGTCGGTCTCGGTCTCGGGGTTTTGTGTTTCATTTGGGACTGGCTAATTGGGAGTGCTTTAGCCTGATTGTAAGGCTCAATATTCGGAATGTACTTAATAAAATTGGAATTTATGTATATGTCATAGGTTTATTGGAAATGTACATGTAGGTTTTGTTCCCTGATTTCGATGGGTAATCTTAGCTGGTTTTATTCTATCCCGTTCCATTCTGCAAACAGATTTGTAAATAATGTTAACATTAAGTATAATATACCATAGATACTATATATATTTCTTACATTTGCTTTCTTATTTAAAAAACGGTGTTATTATTGAAATATTTTGCAAACATATCAAGGAACTTTAATATATTTATTATGCACTTCTAATTTTAGTCAGAAGCTTGAAATCTACTGAAGGAGTCATTTCCGACCCTATAAATCATATATATTCTTGATCAGTATTATCAGGCGAATCGATCTAGCCATGTTTGGCAGAATACAAAATTTTTAAAAATTTGCACAATTTTTTAAGGGGTTACATCGTTAAAATTTTGAAGAAATTTGCAAAAAAACGAATATGTTTTAAATTTAAAATTAGGTACGTAGACTTTTTAACCTAATAAAAACTAACACAGCATCGTTTTCCGATGTGAAATTCAGGGTTTTTTTTGACAAAGTTATGACTTTTTTTAAATTGATTTTTTGCAACAAATTATTATTCAAAATTCTAATATTTTAGGTCCTTTTAAGATCTATTGATGGTCAATAAGTTTCATAAGGTATGCATATACCAATTCGTATTTAAATTCCGTAATTATGCACACATTAAAATTAAAAATAATTACTTAAAACATGTATAAGAGGACCTAAGGATGTGTATCCAGAGAAATGTACAAGATGATATATTAACAAATCGAGATATATCATATTAAACGCTTTTAATATGTTCATATTATAGAAAAATATCAACAAAAATTTAATATGTCTTTTTATCGATTATATTTTTCGAATTTATTAAACAGACATTAAATTATCAATCTGTATATCGATTTTCACATCATATATCGACAAAGAATCGATAAATATATATTTTTTTGTCATCCCTATGAAAAACCAACTTATTGTGAAGGATATTAAACTGATTTTTAATCTGAGTCTAAGTTATTCAAAAATCTTATGACGCTTTATCCGCTCAATTGGAATCGCTCTCTGGAAAAATCTCAACTTTTCATTTTAGACGTTTTTCGCGCTTTCCTTTCCTCACCGCTCCCTTCTCTCCTTTCGATTTTCTCCTTTTGGCCAAAATTCATTCGCTTGTCGCTAATTTTGCCACTTTAGTTTACCCAACGATATGGAAACAATCGCTGAGCTTTAACCAAACCGAAGGAGGCCCATGGGCGTAGTGGAGCGGAGTGCGAAAAGGGTGGCAAGCAGATAAAGAGAGAGAGAGGGAGAGAGAGAAAGAGAAGGAGACAGGGGGCTCTTGTGGAGTGGCATTTCGGTTTTTGGGCAAGTCGGTTACAGCGATTGAATTTAATTAGCTTATCATGAAAGCGTATTCCACATAAATTTATCAAAATTGCTTTACACACAGCATCAGAGACAGGGAAGGAGGGTTGAGTTCCGAGGGGGGGGGGGTACAAATTGCATTACGACCCGCCCATTAAACTGATAAAAACGAGAGCCCGGACCGGCGAGTGGCGGCGGGGATCTTTCTCTCTCTCTTCAATGTTGGGGGGTGGTGGCAGCGCCAGGGTGACACTTTAAAGTTGATGGTTCGAGAGAATCTAAAATCAAATTTATTAACGCACATTACAACGCGCACACTTCATAGCACACACACACACACCCAAACCCACCCACCTAGACTCAAGGGGGTGGGTGTGCTTCCAAAATAATACAAAGGCCGTTGCCTTTTGTTTTCCGGCAACGCGTGCGAAAATGTATTTGTTTTCACGCCACCGAAAGCCACGGAAGTGTTAGTGTTGGTAAACGGAGCGGGGATTGAAAAAAAAACAAACTACTAAACAAAATGGTTACAATATTTTTCGGAAAGTATTTACCCTTGCCCAAAAGGGTACTATAATTTTTAATAAGAAGTTTTATATAAGTTTGACAAACAACACAGACAAACAATCCAGTTATACTTATAAATATTATTAAAAAATTACAAAAGTACAGTGTTTGTTAATGGGGAAGGGGTAAAAACAAAAACCTGACTTCTTTTTTTTTACATATTTTGAAATTATCTTA